GTAACATCGAGTATACTGGACATCTTTAAAAGGTGTGTGTTCTATAAACCAAGTGGGTGTGTGTGTCTCACTGTGAGCAGGACACAAGCAGTGTGGTGAGAGCAGACACACAGAGGAGCAAAGTCCGGGGAGGAGAGGAGGGTCTTTTTAAGTACTGGTTTGTTGGACATTATGAAAATATGGAACAAATTGTGACATTTATTGGCTGGATAAAGAACAACTCCGTATTTTACGGGATGGGTGGCAGACCTAGCTGAAGTCTGTGAGAAGAACTGGAAGACTTTGATGCTTAAGATTAGTGGTTCCCAAACTAATTTTCTCAAAGTCCCCCTTTCTTACTTCCAAGCCCCCCACCAATCCCTTGCTGCTCCCCACTTCTCTCACAGATGCTTTTAACCTTTATCTTTATGAAAATTAATAAAAGAATAAAATTAATAGTTTCAAACTTTTATTTGGAAAAGGAAAATATAAAGAAGAACTGAGTTATATAGACTTTCAATTATTCCAATGAACTTGTTTTGGTGATTTTTATATACAAACAACAAATCGATATTTTCACAACCTCTGATTAGTGTTGTAGTCAAGACCACCTAACCAGGGACCAAATCAAGACTAAGACCAGAGTGTAGTGAGACTGAGACAAGACCAAGACTTTTACTTTTTTTGAATTCATGTATTGCTTGATGGAATAGTCCAGTAAAGAATTAAAAAAAATTGTTTGATTAGATTTTTATGAGCAAGTCTATTTGATTATCATCTACAAAGCAGCAGAGCAGGACATACTGTATCTAAGAAAAAAACGTATATATATTTTATATATATTTTATATATATTATATATATATATATATATATATATACACACACACACACACACATACATACATATATATACAGTGGTTTGCAAAAGTATTCATACCCCTTGAACTTTTCCATATTTTGTCACATTACAACCACAAACATAAATATATTTCACTGGAATTTAATGTGAAAGACCAACACAAAGTGGTATACAATTGTGAAGTGGAAGCAAAATTTTACATGAATCAAAACATTTTTTACAAATAAAAAACTGAAAAGTGCGATGTGCAAAATTATTCAGCCCCCCTGAGTCAATACTTTGTGGAGCCACCTTTTGCTGCAATTACAGCTGCAAGTCTTTTAGGGTATGTCTCCACCAGCTTTGCACATCTAGTGACTGCAATTCTTGCCCATTCCTCCTTGCAAAACAGCTCAAGCTCAGTCAGATTGGATGGAGAGCGTTTGTGAACAGCAGTTTTGAGATCTTGCCACAAATTCTCAATTGGGTTTAGGTCTGGACTTTGACTGGGCCATTCTAACACATGAATATTCTTTTTTTTAAACCACTCCATTGTAGCTTTGGCTTTATGTTTAGGGTCGTTGTCCTGCTGGAAGGTGAACCTCCGCCCCAGTCTCAAATCTTTTGCTGACTCCAACAGGTTTTCTTCCAAGATTGCCCTGTATTTGGCTCCATCCATCTTCCCATCAACTTTGACCAACTTCCCAGTCCCTGCTGAAGAGAAGCACCCCCAGAGCATGATGCTGCCACCACCATATTTGACAGTGGGGATGGTGTTTTCAGAGTGATGTGCAGTGTTCTTGTGGCCAAAAAGTTCAATTTTGGTCTCGTCTGACCAAAGCACCTTCTTCCACATGTTTGCTGTGTCCTCAACATGGCTTCTGGCAAACTGCAAACGGGACTTCTYATGGTTTTCTTTTAACAATGGCTTTCTCCTTGCCACTCTTCCATAAAGACCACATTTGTGTATTGCACGACTAATTGTTGTCCTGTGGACAGTTTCCCCCACCTGAGCTGTGGCTCTCTGCATTTCATCCAGAGTCACCATGGGCCTCTTGGCTGCCTCTCTGATCAGTGATCTCCTTGTTCGGCCTGTAAGTTTAGGTGGACGGCCTTGTCTTGGCAGGTTTACTGTGGTGCCATACTCTTTCCATTTCCGGATGATGGATTGAACAGTGCTCCGTGAGATGTTCAAAGCTTGGGAAATCTTTTTATAACCTAAGCCTGCTTTAAACTTCTCCAAAACCATATTCCTAACCTGTCTGGTGTGTTCTTTGGACTTCATGATGCTGTTTGCTCCCCAATATTCTCTTAACCAACATCTGAGGCCGTCACGGAGCAGCTGTATTTGTACTGAGATTAGATTACACACAGGTGGACCCTTTTGAGCCATTAGCAGTCATCAGGCAACTTCTGAATGCAATTGGTTGCACTCAGGGAAAAGGGGGCTGAATACTTTTGCACGTCACACTTTTCAGTTTTTTAGTTGTAAAAAATGTTTTGATTCATGTAAAATTTTGCTTCCACTTCACAATTGTATACCACTTTGTGTTGGTCTTTCACATTAAATTCCAGTGAAATATATTTATGTTTGTGGTTGTAATGTGACAAAATATGGAAAAGTTCAAGGGGTATGAATACTTTTGCAAACCACTGTACATACATACATATACATACATACATATATATACATACATACATACAAGCATACATACATAAAAAAACAGGGCCCAGATTAGAACCTTGTGGAACTCTACATTTAATGCTGCAGACAGAAGTTCCTGTTTAACAAACCGGATACAAGTCAGCGTAGAACAGGTTGTTTAAAACCAACACTTTAAGATAGTTGCAGTCTTGACTTTAACTATTTACTGACTTTGTTAAATACCAAAATTTACTAAGAATTAAAACTCAAAAATGATGCAGTATGTTTTAAAAAAAAGCCTAATCTGTGGAATTTCTCAGTCCAGTTTTTACTGTAGAAAATACATTTATTAGCCATAAAGTTTCGTTTCAGTCTTATAAATGTCTTAGACTAAGTGATTCATTGGTTCTTTGGGTGACTCACCAGATGAGCGTTTCTAATCATTCATTACACAAGTGCCTTCAGGTGATGAGGTGTCATAAAACCAGCCGTGGTCTACCTCTGCCAACCTGAGAAGTAAATGTTTTAATGCAGCTCACTCATGGCACTGGATTGTATAATCAACAGACCAGTTAGATCAGTTCATGTATGTTTTCTAAGGTCATGTTCTTTGATGTTTTTTTTTAACACGCCTTCTTCAGTAGACTAACTCTGCTGTCACTCATCCTACCAGCTGTACAGTTAGTTCTAGTTTGTTTTAGCAGGAACTCCAGCCTTAGATCACCACCCTTAACTTTGTCAATTTAAACTGTAATAAACTTTTTTCTGTTTCCTTGACAGTGTTTTTAATTTATTCAAAGATTTTCTGAAACAAAATGAGTCCTTATCGGTACGAGGATAGTGGCAAATACGAAAAGCTATCTTTTTTTTTCTTTTGAYCGACCAGTGACCTTAAACCTCTGGGTACTGCATAGATTTATTCTAAAAACAACTAAAGACTCCACAGTTTTCTTTCCAGTTCTTGTTTTTTTTTTTCCCCCAGAAAGTTTGTTGGCAAAGTTTCAGCTCTAGATTGCCCTGAAAACAAACATGCAGACTGCTTGCATCAATCTGGTGTGCATGTTTTTGTCCTGTTTTTCATTTAGACAACAAGAACCCTTCTGTCCTAACAGAAGGGCATGCAACCAATTGTTGTGCAAGACAGGAAAATGTGATGCATCTGCTGATGTGTAGTAAATTCACTCCGGATCACAGATAATCTTTGAAACAAAGCTTTCTTGTCTCTGTATCATGGTAAAAGAGGAAAAATATATAAATAAATAAATAACCCACACACTCGAAAAACTAGTCTGTCTTTTTGCAAGATTTTTTGCTTTGCAGAGTTCAAGCTGTAGTTCTTTGTTTTAAAACAGCAAAGATATAAAACTGCCTTTTTCAACGGATTTCATAGATAAAAGCATTCATACTTTTAATGACAATTCTCAATTTTTCTTTCAAATGTACTAAGAGAACATTGTCCTTGATTGCCAAGTAATAACGCACTCACAATAGCCTAATGAACAACCAAAAAATGCATTCAGTTTTGTAAACATAACAAGACAAAACTCTTCAGAATGATCCAGTATGTAAAGAAGCATTCTCAGATAAATACCTGCTGAATACCCTTCATAACCCTCATCAACACGCTCTGACATTTAAAAAGCCTCGTGCAAAGACACTTGAGTCAAAGAGTCAAGTGAGTGTTTATGGGAGGGAGGCTACAAGGAGTGGTATTTCCTCAAGTGGCAACAGAGAATCCACTAAAGCTCCTGAGGCCTGTTGTTCCTTTTACTGTCCTCTTTCCATAAGCAAAGCATGACCCAGTTAGGAGTTTGGAAGGAATGTCAGGACGCCCGAGGCTCTGGGCGGCACTCACCCAGCCAGAGAGGCAGGCAGCAGCTTATGTAACAGGAGTCATGTGAGGGCCTTTGTATACACTGGAGGACCTCAGGTTACTTCAGGTAACGCAAATATGCAAATAAAAGCATATTACATAACATTTAACACATGCCCCTGAAAAAATAAAATAAAAAAAACTCTACAAACCTGAATGCCTGGGTTAAGAGCGCCACAAACACCGAGACAAAAACGTGCAAAGACTTGACAAATAAAAAACAGTTTGAAAAGATGAAATGATTTAACAAACAGTGGCTCTTAACCCTGAGCCTTCCCTTTTCACAGATTTGAAAAGATTTAATGTTGCCTCAACAACCCTTTTGTGAGTAATGATGGATTTGTCTGCACATTTTGGACCTCTCCCATTGTTTGTCCTCATTTACGTTTCTTTGTTGAAACTTATTTTCCGTTTTTTCCCCTCCCCCTCCAATTTGAAACGTAGGTTTAAAAAAAAGGTGAACTTGTTTTCTGCAGCGCTCATCTGCTCACATGTAGAGGATTATACACTCGCAGACGTGCACAGCATTGTCTTTCTGTTGAGATTCTAATCATGGCTCGCTAATGGGAATGCTTTTAGTGCAATCCATTTTAATAGCGGCCTTAACGGGAGATTAAATAAATTCACACCCACGCTGAGCTGAACCCAGTCGCCTCGTCTTACCTGGATGACTGTGTTTCCACCCTCCAGCAGTGCGATGGCCAGCAATATGCTCTCCTGGAAGATCCGATCGCTGGTGGCATTCATGATCAGGTCTATGACGAGATCAGACGCTCCTTCTTTGTCGAGGTGGCACTGGACCTCGGCCAAACTCAGCTCCCCTCGACCTCCGATCCCAGAGCTGACGACTGAGGGGGTCACAGAAGTGAAACCAATTATCTTTCATATAATTCCATGTTATTTCACACTTTGTTTAAAGTGTTTTACAAATTTAAGAGGAAGGTAAAGATACTTAGCACAAAACGTTAGGATATTCATGGTTGGTAGATTATCTCTTTGTTGTAACAAYGCTTCTTAACAAAAAAATCTTATCCTGTGCACCTGGTTGGGGGCTCAGCTTGGTTTGGAAGCAAGGAAGGAGACTTTGAGGAAAATAGGTTGAGAACAACTAATCTAAAGCATYGAGGTCTTCCATATAAGGTCCGCTCAGAGTTTAAGGGTGTATTCACACCAGGAAAGTCCTTTGGTCCTCTTGTTTATTTTTTATGTGTGCAACCCACATACTCAGCTCTACCGCTCATTCCACAAATGCATGTTCCTTACAAATGTGGCACCATTTAAAGSGGAAATTAAGGCTTTCCAGCAGTATCAGATTTAATGCCACGAAGCATTGTTACAACAAAGAAATAACCTACCAAACACCAATTTCCTTACTTTCTGTGCCAAATTTATGTTGACTTTTTCAAATTCACAACCATGCTTAGTTGACAAACGGAGTATCTAAGAAATGCCATAAAGAAATAAACAGTCTGCATATCGTGCCTCTACGAAGGATTAATTGTTTTAAGAACAAAGCTGTTAAGTTGTTAAAGAGGTTGCTTGCAACAAGCTGATAAAACCATCATACAGTCACGTCTTGTGTCTTTAATCTGTGGAGGCGCTTTCATTTTATTCACTGTTGCCAATGACTAAATGCGGTCAGGGAGGAGTTTGGTGACATAACGACACCCATCAGAGCCATCGCTGGCTGGACAAGCAACTGAATCAACAACACATCCCATTTTACACAGAGCTTGGAACGCCGGTCTCCTGGCAACAACACGGCCCATGTTAGGCCGAGACGAGGGCCGACACGCTCAGTGACGCCGCCGCTGTGAAAGAAAAGGGCTTAAAGGAGCGCGAGGTCACCACTGAGGATTATGTCTTGTGCTTTTCTCCATTCCAGAAGCTCACAGGTAAAATGATGAGTCATCACAGAGCTGAAGCCCAACTGGAATGATATAACTCTAAAAGCCACTTCATCAAACTTCCTGAATCAACAAGTCTATAAGATGATAATAAAAAGGAAATTTCGCTTTAGTGTTTTAATATTCCTTGATTTCTGCCCGGTTTTTCTGCAAACCCATTGTGTAAGATTTGCAAACATTGAGAAAGTTTTTTTTTWACTTAGTAACTGTGTTTTTAGTGTTTATTTTCAGTTCCGCTTAAAAATAAAGTTTTTTCTACACTTGCTATTGAAAAAAACAAACATTTAAATAGCGATGCAGTTCCACCACTACCCTTTTATGCCAGGGTTCTCAACATAAGATCATGTCATGATGAGAAAAACAGTTATAGTTGTTCTGGTCTAATCTTGAAAATAATGTGTTATCTCATGTGATATCTCAAGATGTCACACTAGGGTGTTGGTGTTTGGAGCGAATGACTCAGCTGCCACCACATCAAAGATATCTAAATTAGACTGAGCTACAGTCATTTTAGTGTCAAGCTAAGGTCAGCAGGCTGTGGTGGTCATCTTGAATTGAGATCATTTCAGAAGTTAATCAGCTGCAGATGTACATCCAAGGATTATTTTTGAGATGTTTAATAAAATCTGTTCAGGGGTTGATGAGATTTTTGATAAAGTATAGAAAACAAACACGGGCAAAAAAAAAAAAAATCATCTTTTGGTGGAAAGTGATAAATGTTAAAACAGTAACTGATCCTGGCTTAGTATGTATGCTTCTCATTCACCCATACACACATCCATCCAGAAATGTATATTTTACTCTCCATACTTTTTTAAATCTCTGCTTAAAACTCTGTTTTTAATTAGTGTTCATATAAAAGTATGAGTTCCAGCAGAGCTGTTGGTTTATTTTGAGTCAGTGTATTATTTTAGCTTTTACTGCTCTTTTAATGTTTTTTTTATTTTAATTTGTAATTGATTGTAATAATTATTTATTTTGTAATGAATAATTTTGTTTTCAGATGCCTCTTTACTGAACAAATATTTCAATTTAGCTGTCCAAATTTAATCTTTGTGTGTGCTATAGTAGTTTAAAATTCTAAAAATTGAAATTGTTTTGCAGCCTGCTAACGGAAACATAATTAAACAAACACAAGCACCACTGCTACATTTCATACATTTCACCAAAACTCATCTATTTTTTTTATTTTTTACATGTCAATGAAACACAAACTTGCACTGGACTAATTTACTTGAGTAATTTAAAACCTTTTTTAGTTTTTCGAAGCATGATCCTGCAGGTACATCAGTATATTACTGTGAAACTCACGGGCAGGTGGTTTTCCTGGTGCTCCGGTAGCGAGTGGACCGTTGCTGTAGGATGTGAGGCTCTCTCTTCTTTGGCCAGATTTAACGTTTCCATAGTATCGGTTGACTAAAATCTGCCGCAGAGCCTCGCCCTATAAGGGGGTAAAAATATTGCAACGAATGAAGCTCAAACAACATCATGGAAATGTATTATCTCAAGTCTATGAAATGTTTACATAAATTACTTTCATACAGTTTGATGGTTCAAGTTCCACATTGTGAAAATTCTTGGACACAACAAAACATTCAAAAAGATAAAAAAGTTAAAGACACAACAGCTTTTTGATCAATTATTATTAAAAAGAGACATATCCTGATTTAAATCCTTCTTTTTCACATTTAAATCATTCAGTTGGGGTCTTTATAAAGTGGAAATACAATACTTGGTCTGAATTCCTCCTCACTGTAACTCCACAAGCCCCTCTTACACTCATTTTCAGAGTTGTGTCTCAGATCAACTCGTTTTGAGGCTGTCTCTTTAAAYCAGAGGTGCCAAAATTGGCCCGCCAAGCCATTTGATTTGGCCCACCAGCAGTTTTCCTGGTTACTAGATTGTAATCTCATGTCTTATGTAGAAACACTATATTTCCACTAAACCACTGGTGCAACTATAGGTACAAGGAGCTGTAGTCAGATAGTCTTAACTCATGGTACTCACTTTATATTTGAATAATGTTAAAATTAAATATAAAATACAAGTAACTACAAGAGACATTTAGATTAGATTTAAGCCCATATCTAGATTTGCACACCTTGTAAGACACCATATACTCAAATTTTAAATTATGAAAAGTCCCATGAGCCTTTGCTGCCCGAGCGTATGTTGAATTTTCTCCATGTCCATGGGCTGAAAACAAACAAATAAAAGAAAGTGGGCAACCACACTGGCTGCTAGCTTAATTATAAAAATTAAAATTTCTTCACTTAAGGAATATTTGCATTTCATGTACTATTTTATTACCTTTGGCCCGTGGCCCTCAGAATGATTTTAATTTTGGCCCTCTCAGGGAACATGTTTGGGCCTCCCTGTTTTAAATCAAAACAAGGCCTTACAAACTGGTCCATTGTAGTTTGATAGCAGATATATAACTATCTAGCTGCACAGAAACATTTTATTTACAAATTAATTAAACCATGTCAACAAGGGAGGACTTGTCCATCCAGTCTTACATGTTGGATCCAGAGTCTGACCCAGAGCCAGAAGAGAATGAAAATGACCAARTTGTAGTTGGTAAGTCCAGATCTTATTTGGCAGTTTTGTCACAAATAATTTGACTTAATAGATTAGAAAAAGTCATAGAAAATAGAGAAAACTRAACGGGATCAAAAATATGACTCAAACCGAAAATAAAGGTATCTACTGTATGGAGAGACTAAATAAAACTTTTCTGCAATCCTAGAGACTCGAAGTCCACAACAAAATGTATTTATTAACTTAAAAAAATGGATTTTGCACGATATGTCACATTTAAATAAATATCCTCATGATTTCTAATTTCCATGACAAAAAAATTATTTGTTTGACCAACCTGCTCAACTCTTTCAAAAAATTTCTTAGATGATTAAGTGTAAATACAGAAAAAAATTAAAATAAAATTTAAAAAAGTGTTGGAGACGTAAAGAGAACACAGATAAATAAAAACGTTCTCCTGAGAAGGACAAAAACAAAACACAGGACTATGCCAACAATCGGCTGCATTCAACATTCACTGCAGGAGTGAGGAGGTGGAGAACCAGAGCGAAGGCCCTCCTGATGAGCCTCCTCACAAGTACTATAAAGTGTCGGGGGAGTGAGTGGGGGGCCATGCTGTGGAAGCAGTGCGACTGTGAGGGCCTCACAACAGTTAGTTGTCCATCATTAGTAAGGTGGGGAGCTCAACCAGACCACAGCAAACCAAATGCTTTACCTACCCTCCTTTGATCTTCCACTTGCTTCAGTGGCTGGTTGGGATCAAGCTCCTTAAAGGTGATGTGAGTTAGCAGAAAGCAGTGAAATAAGAAGAATAAATGCAAAGAATAAAAGGAAAAGTTTGGAAAAGGAAATTTGGGAAAGTAATTAGAGAACAAAGTAGGGTGTTAATACAGTGCACATTAGTTACTTTAAAAGCATGCAGGAAACAGGGTGCAGATTCAATCATGCAGTTCAGAGGGAAGTGGTTGTGTCAGGAAAGATGTGAGGCTGAGTCAAAGTCATGCAAGGTTTCATGCAAGGGACAGGCCGCTATTCATTCTAAAACATCCGACATCTGCAACGCTCTCATGGGCAGTTTGTGCTGCGACACAAGCGCCGAACATTTCCCACCAAAACCTTTAAGTTCAACTTATAAAAGCTCTAAATGAGCACAAGTCCGCAGTTCGTTGTGGGAGAAACGTGTGGCTTTGATGGCTTTGCTCTGAAGTGACTCTCTCATTACTTTGCCTATCGTCACGGTCTCAAAATACCAAAAATGATTTACATAGAAAAAAGGCCTAAAGCAAGCAACCTTAAACTGAAACTGTAAACCGTGAGAAAGAAAAGGAGGAAAACATCCAGGTTACATAATAAAGCCGTGAGCTCTAAGGTCATGTACTCTCACAACCCATGTGGCATGGGGAAACATTGTGCTCATGACTTTGAACCCCACCCTCACTGCCATCCTGCTGAACAAGGAGCAAAAGACTAATCAACTGGTGCAGCTGCGATGGGTGGGGGTGGGTAAAAAGGGGAAATATATGAGGATGGACAGAGACTCTTTTCTAGATTCAGACATGTCAAACGAGGTGCACAAGTACAACAAGATGAAGATGGCGCATAAAGAGAACACGTGATCTCTGATCAGCCATGACCAATGGTTTTTAAAAACACACCTCTGCGGGAACTTCCGGCTCGGGTGGAGGTGCCAGCTGATTGGAGATAAAAGGATGGCGTTAGTTTAGGTTGGAAGGGGTTTAGATTTCTTGACCTGCTTAGTCTGTAAACTGCAGAACCCTTTAAAACTACCTGTACGACACCGGATCCACAAAAAATAAAAACAAAAAAATAAATGACTTTTTTACTCAGTAACATGCAAAACGATGCGTGACTTAAAGCCATGAGCGAAGGAAAACATTGATGGTAAAAGCTTTTATGAGGCTTGGTTACTGATAAAACATGGATGATAAGCAGCGTTAACCTGTTGCAGCAAAACAGTGGAAACTCTGTAGAAAGAAAAAAAAAAAGATTTTTCCACATCTCCACCTCAAAGCCCCTGGTTATGATGCAACACTCGTGTGCTCAGCATTTTCTGGTGGCTTTTTAACCTATTGCTACGTGTTGCTGCCCATCCTCAGCATGACGGTGCTTTTACACACCGCAAGAAAAATATGAGCAAAGTCAGCACTGTGTATTGAGAGGCTAAAATATCCAGAAGTTAAAGCATTGTTTTGTACTGGGGAAATTTTTTTTTCAAAATCATGCCAAAAATAGAGTTTAAAATAAAATGTATTACAACAAACCACCTTTTAGAAGCATAACCAAACAAATCAAACAAAAGCTGAGGATTGCATTGAATTATTTTTTTCTACTGTCCATTTTCATTCCTTTCAAACCTATCCATCTATAAGTAAATAAATACAAAAGATCACAACTTAGTGTCTTGTACATTTGTTATGCACACAAAAACACTGAATACAAATGAAAACTATGAAATACAAACAAATTTTTCTGTTAAAAATGACATTTAGAGGGGAAAAAAGAACTACGTGGTAAGTCTTAATTAATTTAATAAGCACTAAATGAATTAAAGCTCAATCAAATCTGATGATATTTGACGAATACTTTCTTTTTTTCCAGTTTTATGAGTCGCTGCTTAAGTGACGAACACGTCTAAGAGAAAGAAACCTCAGTGCAGAGGGGGCTGCAAATGTGGAAAAAGTAAACACAAACACAAAGCCTAACATAGACGTGCTGATTTATTGTGCAACTGGACAGGAATTTCCCTGAATGAAGCCTCCTTTAACGTCAACACACTGATTTCCACAGAAACGTTTTGATGCATCATCGTGCACTGAAGCTGTGCTCAGAGCTGGTCGCCATGATTGAGTTGTGCATCTTTTTTTTTTTCAAAGAAATCAAATCATTTCTGACCGACATTAAAGCTGAAAAGCTCAACCAACATAATTTAATGTAAGAGTTGAAAGAAAAGGGAAACGACATCAGGTAAATTAGCACTGCAATGACCGTGCCTCCTCAGTTTATGGTGTAAATAAAAATGCACTCTGCACTGCACTTCTGTTGATAATTACTACTCAGGGTTACACATCTGTGGAAAAAAAAAAGAATAAGGAAACAAACTATTGTCTCCTTTGTAACTGCTGCTTGAGAACTGGCTGAAGCCCAACTACTGCAGCATTGAGGCAAAGGAAACTGGGTTTGAAGCTTTGTATTGCTGAGAAGTGTCTGCAGCGCCCCCTGTTGAGTGAAAACAATGACAGAGACCATCAAATTCAGGAATCAATTCTATGCAGAAACGGCCAGGATAAATGAGGACAAGAGAAAGATGTGGGAACTAAAAGCTGAAAAGATGGCTGAAACAAAGCAAAAGGGAAATGGGAGGGGACTTCCCTGAAAAGTAAACACAAAATTCTTGGGAAAAATAGATTAAAGTGAAACTTATAAAGCTGGTAGGGCAAAATTAAGAAAGCAAAAACTTAAAAAAAGATTTTAAAAAACTTCAGTTTGTACAGATGTGTACTCTCAATCCTTTTTTAAAAAAAACATTCTGTTCAAATTAAAGTGAGTTTCTGTAGAAAGATCATAAACAACTATTACATTAACTGTAAAAATAACTTTTGGGATGGCCTCAGTCCAACAAGACTGACGAGCTAAAGGCTAGTCTGTTCGCAGCAAAGATCAAAGTCTGAAAGCAGCYGACGATAAACAGCCGAAAGAAAATGACCTCTGAGTAAATACTTCGAAAACAGCAACRGCAAGAACAGGACATAAAACCTTTTTTGGATTTATACCATTTTAAGACGACAGCAATCCACTTTGGTTTTGGATTGTACAGACTAGCCGTTAGCTCATCGCTCCTGCCAAACCGAGGCTGTTCGAAGAGCTTTCTCAACGGGTCAGATGTTCATTCTTCCAYAGAACCYCACTTCAAAATGTCTGGAATAGCTCTTCAAGCCAGACATACCATCTCCTGCTCATCACCTGAAACATTTCAACCACTCAAACAAAGGCGTGAGTGGGAGGGAATCAGAAACRCATGCGGTGAATCATACGACAATGAACCTTGCAGGCCCGCCGTGTCTGGTTCTTCCCTGGCTCTCATGGTCTCGCCTCTCTGCTGCTGAAGACTGAAATGCTACTGTGYAAAAAGTCATTCCTGTTTCATGACCCTGACTATGTAAAAGCCAGCCTGCGGCGGGGGCATGCAGCAACAAGAASAAGTGTGATGGATCCTGTCAGACAGTAGTGAAACTAACAGCTGCACTCACTCCTGAGAATCTTTGGCRGGGTGTTTTCAGTGAGTGGTGTGTTTTATATGATGGGTCAGAGCGCAGCATCAGGATAAACTCTTACCTAAGTATGAGGACAGTTTAGTCCTACCTGTCCCAGCGTGCTAAACATGCTGCTATCAGTCTGAATGCTGCTGTTAACGTGAGCAGAAGCATGACTGAGTGACACCCCGCATGTGCTGGGGGTCCACATTCTTAAGTTACTGCTAATGGGGAGAGCTGTTGAAACAAAGCCCTGCTCTGTGAGAACAGTCCTATTTTTGTGGAAGCTGGGGCTTTCCAACRCTTTAGCAGCAAACAGCAAGTAAAAAAAGAGGGAGGGAAGGAGGGAACACAAGACAGACGTGTAACAGAAAAACTGAGAGCATTGCTGCTTCCTGCAACTCTGGAAAGACCCTTTCCTTCAAATTCTCTCCATTTCCTCACCCGACATCTTTGTTCACTTCTCTCACACACAGCACCTCGATCACGAGTATTGTACCACTGGCCTGTTTTGTTTTTCTCTTTTACTCACCAGAGGTATTTTCCTAGTTTTTTTCCCCCTGCTAGGGCAAATGTTACCACTGTGACAATGTTTGAGTTTTGAGAAATTGGATTAAGTTAAAAACACGCAGCAAAGAGGTTTAATATTGCATTAAATCTATGTTCATCCTCATGGTCAGAGTCTCTCTCTCGCTCTCTCTCATATATATATATATATATATATATAAAACTTTAGTCACAATGACTCAAATATGTGAGCTCAAGACAGAAACCAGAGTTAGCTTTTTATGGAAAGGTCATGACTTTCGCCCTTCTATACAACATATGCTGTATGTAGTTTACTCACTTACTGATGGCAGCAATAGACTCACAAGTAAATTAGATATGTTACTACTATCCATCATGACAAAACTGGATGTTTTTTGATAATTTACTGCAGTAAAACAACTCAGGTTTTTAATATATGCAAACTACATTTGGTTTGTGTTGATTTAATTTAGACTATTTTAAAAGGCAGAACCTCAAGTGTATGGTTGCATAATTATTGTATGATTAAATATATGTAAAGTATTCAGATGTAATGTAATTTATTTATTAAATTAAGTGAACTATAAAAGTAATATAAAAAATGCAAGAAAATGAGCATAGGTTGAATATTAAACCAAACTCAAAAGCAAAACACAATAATTCTTTTACAAGCTTACAATATTTTTATATTTATAAGTATTGTATAAATTAAGAGAAATAGTATTTAAGAAAAATAACTAGTGTTAAGCTACAGTTCAAAATGGTTTTCTTTTCTGAAAAATGTTTATATTACTTACATGACAGACCACACACACCTTAGTAAATTCTAATTTACAGTTTTCCATAAAATATCCACTGCAGTCTGACAGATTTCTATTATTGAAAATTAATTGCTCACAAAATGATTTCTGTTTATGTAAACTGTTGGGGGAAAAAAAAATCCAAACAATACAGATTGTTATAAGTTAAATCTACAAAATTCTGAGTTAAATATAAAAAAATGAAACTTACAATTGGTTGCCAAAAAATAAAAATAAAAGAGAGAGTTGAATACTTTAAAACTACACACAAACAATGACCGTATGCATTTAATTTGATTAAACTGGCATTTGTAATAGTGAATTTGACTGTATTCTATTTTAATTTAAATATAATTAAATATATTTGAATCTGTTTCAGACTGAATTAGATTGAGTGATTTGAACTTGTTGCTTTTTGTATTGTACCCCTAGATTAATTTTCTAATGAATTGATTTTATAATAATACACTGAATTAACTTGAATGTTTTATGCTTGATTTTTTTATGAATTTACATAGTAATATAAAGTCAACTGAAGTATTTTCTACTTAAGAACAAACAGCTACACAAACATGTCAAAGCAGGACAGACGAGCACAACAGCGTAATCCGAGCTGTTAACGTGAGCTACACTTTAACACAGAGTTCCCAACAACTATAAATAATAACATGTAAACACAGCGGGGAGGGAGGGATGGGCTAAGCTGCTGACACGACTCACTGATGGGACGGCAAAGAGAAAAAGTCTACTTGAAGCACAAATATGTCTGCATTGTTAGTGGGAGACAAATAATGAATTTCAATAGTAAGTAAAATGATCGACCTCAGCCACATCCATCTCATCATCAAAGGCAATCAGCTGCAAGAGAAAAAGTATAGGAGGCAGAGAGTTAGTAGAGCTTGTTAGTGAGTTGAAAGCCCCCTTTACAAATGAGCAAAGCTGTCATACACACACACCATGTGGAGTTATTCAAATTGGGAAAGCTAATTTTACACCTAATTGCCAAACGTTATTTTGTTTCCAGCAATGAAGCAAAGACCTTATTAGGCTTGTCCGAAACTAAATAACATTCAAAGGGTTTGAAAAGATTTGTCATCCCGGATTTACACTACATGTGTCTCCGCTGCGCTGCGGTGCGCAGGTCGCAGCTGTTAGTTTGTGTCTCAATTTATACAGCCTCCGCTCAGCTCCGCTCCGACAGAGTGTGGAGGAAGGAGATCGCGTGATAAATCCAGTGATAAATGTGGAAGTCACAGCAAAAAATAATTAATTCTGTGAAAGACAAACTCCAAACACAGCTGAAAACAACGATATAAAGGCTTTTGGTATCTATGTTGAAACTGTCTCGCTGTCGTCTTTCTGAATCTTCTGATTTCAAAATAAAATCCGCGTGTATCGTGTGTGTAAACATATGCTTCATGCTACGTTTCCATCTGCTTCCCAAACAGAACGATACACTCTGACAGCATTTGTGTAGAAATATATCCATATATTGATTAATATAGCTGGGATTTCGACATTATGCTAACAAATTATCCAGCCTAATAGTGTCTTATTTTGAAAATACGGATGTTGTGCTCGTTCCTCTTCCTGTTGGTGCGACATGATCTTTAAAAATTGACTCCGGCGCAGCTCCGGCATCTGGCAGAAATAGGATCGGATCTAATTTTTGATGGATCGCCATCCGCTCACCGCCACCCTACACAGCCAGTGTAAACACTCCCATTGATTATAGTGGGTGTGTATTTGCTGCCGAGGTCGGACCGGAGCGGAGCAGAGCCGTGACGCATGTAGTGTAAATTAGGGGTTGAGGAGCAGTTTTAGAACATTTAGTGATTTCTTCAGATAAACAAACCAAAGGCCTGAAAATTAGGTTTTAAAATAAATACACCCAAGGCACACTAAAATCTCAAAGTACATCCCCAATTCCAATGAAGTTGGGACGTTGTTTAAAACATGAATAAAAATAAAATGATGAAAATCCTTTTAAACTTACATTCAATTGAATACACTGCAAAGACAAGATAGTTAATGTTCAAATGGATAAACTTTAATGTTTTTTGTTGTTTTTTTCAAATACTCACTCATTTTGATTTTGATGCCTGCAACATGTTCCAAAACAGCTGGTTTATGTTTACCACTGTGTTACAACAGCTTTCCTTTTAACAACACTCAATAAGTGTTTGTGAATTGAGGACACTATTTGTTGAAGCTTTGGAGCTGGAATTCTTTCCCTTTCATGCTCGATGAACAACTTCAACTTGTGAGACAGGTCTGGACTGCAGGCAGGCTGGTCTAGTACCCAGATTCTCTGAATTTGTTTGGTGATGTTATGGACTGTAGACGATGAAATCCCTTAATTCCTTGAAGTTGTATGTTGAGAAACTAACATACTACAGTATGTTGCTCACAAAGTGGTGAACCTTGCCCATCCTTGAGTGTGAACAAATGAGTCTTTTTGGAGCATTTTTTTTTAACTTTCCCAGCTTTCTTTGAACATGTTGCAGGCATCAAATTCAAAATTGGTGAATATTTGCAAAGAACAATACAATTTATCTGTTTAAACATTAAATATATTGTCTTTGTATTCAACTGAATACAGGTTTCAAAGGATTTGCAAATCATTATATTCTGTTTATATTTATGTTTTACACAACGTCCCAACTTCATTRGAATCAGGGTTGTAGATCCAAAAAAAAAACATGCATAAAATATGGTTGTGTTTGTTTTGCAGATTTGTGTTGCTACCAGTTTGGTTTTTACTGAAATGAACTGGCTGATAAAGAACTACCCCCCGCCCCCCAGGACACAGGCGGTCATTTTGAATTTTGACGATTCCAAATTTCCCAGGTCTGAGCTTTATTAAAGCAAAAATTGCTCAATGACGCCTTCACGAGTTCTTCCTGCTCATCGGTGCAGTTGGTGGGTTTCTTGCCCAACTATATGAAGAACTACACACATTACAACAACAGCTAAGCCTCTGTTTGCGTGCACAAAACAAATGGTAATAAAATTTTAGCCAAATTGAATTTACCAGATGTCACGAAATGTGACCAAATTCCTAAACCAATTACTAACTCAAACATAAAAAAATACTGCCTTTAGTTTAACAACTAAGAAGTCAAATTTAGCTTTGAGCTGGATTTTGCTTTACTCTGCAGTTACAGTATTTGCAGCCATCAGTGGAAAATGAGCTGATAGTAAAAGGCAATAATAGATTTTGTGTTAGTAGAAGAGCCCATTAGTTGCCAATGAATGGTGTGTAAAATGATAGTGTGGAGGCATGCATGTTGTTAATGGTGCTAATTATGCAGGTATTCTTAACTTTGAGCACTCGTTTGTACAGCACAAGTATTCTGGGGAGGAAAGCAATGAGAATTTATTTTTCCCCTGAGTGAGATCAATTTTTATCAAATATTTGAAAAACAATAAAAAAAAAGTTTTAAAAAAATGTAARAGTTAAACAACCAAAGCTGCTGTGGTATCACATGAACTCCAAAAAGGAACATTTTAATGTTTAAACGGTCRCATGTTGGATAAGTGTCCTGAGATGTCACAGGTTTTATTCTGATTATGTAGCTTAGTTGTGCCCAAAATGATCCTGCTGCTGTGGACCATTAGAGTTAGAGTTGGGCGATACTGGCATAATCACCTTTAAGAGCAGCAGTATTACACCAATTAACAGATGATACTTGCATGTTTTTGACTCTAAATTATTTACCACGTGTTTACAGATCAGCCAAATTAACTTCTTCATTTTAACAGGTTAAATTAGTAAACTGTGAACTGAAACCCACCTTCTCCACAATCTTTAGTGATGCAATATGCCACGGACTCGCATGCTCGCGTGATAGATCGAACACAAATAAACGTTGTCATCATGTGGCACTAACTGCAGCAGATGCAAAGTATCTTGCTGACGATTAACTGCACACGATACAATTTTGCCCATCCCTTGGCACAACTACAATCAGACAAAACATAAGACTTATCTTACCTTCACCCCATAGCCGCGGTCCTTCGTCATCATTTCCCTGAGCGTCTGGAGAACTTTGATGCACAAACGCTCCTCGTTCTCCTCCAGGAGCTGTTTGGTGTGTTTGATTAATCTGGTAAAAGAGAAGAAAGCAAGAGAGATAAATAAACAAGGTAGAACTCGATGCACTCGTACGCCTACACCTGCCCTTGACTCGTCTGCATTTAAAGCACTGGGCATGCAGTTACCTGTTGACCTCTATTTTTGGACTTAAATATTCTAAGTATGTAATTATAATAATGTCTAAACACGAGTTCCACTTTGATATTTACCACTTCATTAAYTAAGTGACCAGCCACTTATGTGTACCATTCAAAATAAGGGGATTCAGGCAACAAAGATCACTTTATCTGACCTTCAGCTTTGACCTTTGACCCTAAAAGGTTTTCAGACCTCCGTTGGGCCAAGAACAAYTATCATGTTAATTTTGACTGATATCAGGAGATACAAGACAGCGTGACGGACACCCAGTAATACATAGATGGACAACCAACCTCAGGTGGAGGCATAAAAAATCATCATCCTAATAATTTATTTTTTGTGGTTAATATAGATTTTTTGTCTTTGTACAGTTTTATCTTTTACCAGAAGAATTTATAACTTTTGTCAAACAACTTAGAGATGTTAGGTTCGCCATGTCCTCTAGACCAGTGGTTCGGGACCCACAGTGGGGTCCGAAACATCAAAGTGGGGTCCTGAAAAGATTTTATGAATTAATTACACTAAAAAATTACAAATAATTTTTTGCCTTTGTTGTTACAAAAAAGTTAGTGTACCTAAAACGGACAAAAAAAGAGTAATAAATATTTTTACTTTGCTCCTGTTTATTGGACGTGAAAACAACATTTATCAACCAACAGCTGGGGTCACAGGTCTCTGCTGCTGGTATTTTGTGGGTCAAAAGCTGAAAAATTTGGGAACCACTGCTCTAAACTAAACACACTGGGACTCTGCAGTTCTGGTTTCTTTTAGAATTAAGTTATTAAAATGACTGTAATAAAACATTTCTTAAAACCAAGAGGAGTATTTTGACTACATCAATGCCAACAATGGAATCTGAAATCAAGCCTCACTTTGAGATGAATCCTCCACTTTCACATTTCTTGCGAGCTTCTGTGTTCTCAGGGAACAGCAGCTCTGGACGATGCAGGACATCCACCAGCACAGAGAGCTCAGCTTGGACCAGCGGCCTCAAACGGTCCTCCAGGGCCGATACAATGTCCTGAGCAGAATGACAAAACAAGAAAATACATTAAACCAAGAACATTTGTCTGAACTTACAAGGTTTACATTCTTTTTGTCAAATTAATCTCTGTTTGTCTAAGGAAAAGTGTAAGTTAAGAAAGTTCTAATCCCAATATTCCACCCCTCAGTATTCACTTTGTGTTGTTGCTGTACAACCTGGAATCTAAGAGAATTGTGGGGCATTTTAATATTTTATTTTACACCACCACTTTAAAGTGCAAATAGATTATATGAAACAAACAAGACAAAGCACCCCCCCCCCCACCAAAATAAGGGATTCAGCACACTGTCCACTTAATAAAATCAGTTCTTTGCAGAGCAACTTTTTGCAGCAACCACAGCAGTGAGTCTCTTCAGTTAGGTTTCCACAAGCTTGGTCCATTTAACTGGTTAAATGAGACCAGTGACAAAACTGCTCCACCTCCTTTGGGTTGGACGGAAGCTGCTCACATGCAACGATCTTTAAGTCAAAGTCAAGTTACTCGGTTGAACTGAGGTCGAGGCTTTGACTGGGCCTTTTCAAACATTCCGATAGATAAATATACTTTATTGAACCCAAAGGATATTAATAAAAATCCAATGCTTCAACAATAAAAAGCAAAAARACACAATGTTCAACTGCATACAGTAGCAACTACCTATCATACTCAAACAACGGGTTTCTCTTTAAACCACAGTTGTGTTGGTTCAGCCGTGTGCTTAGTGTCATTTTCCTGCTGGCATCAGTCTCAGTTTCAAGATTTCAACAAGTTTCACTCAAGAATTTCCAAAAAGATCTAAATCTGTTTTCCCCCCAAAAGATGAATGTTCCTGCTGATAGAAAACTAAATTTTATTCTCATCTGACCACAGCATCTTCAGTAGGATGCACCAATATGAAAATTTCAGCCGATATCGGTATCCGATATTATGGTGCTATGGCCGATAACCGATATTTACTGATATTACACAAACAAACAAATTATTTATATACTACATATACGCACAAACACACTTGTGTCTTTTTTGATACTGTAAATAAACAACCAGACATCTGACATAGATCTCTACTTCAGTTATTCCTGTCTGCACACATCACTATCACGATCAAAGGCCACGTTCACACTGCAGGTCTTAATGCTTAGTTCCGATTTTTTGAAAAAATCCGATCTTTTTGTGTGAACGTTCACATTACATTTTAAATGTGACCTGCATCAGACCCCTGTGTGAACGCTACACAGCACTGATGTGACATCATGCGCAGTAAAAGACGTGACGTCTCATCAGCCGGCTTGTTTGTTTACAGAGCTAGCATGGATGCTACATTTTGCGCATCGAATCGGAAGTTGTTGTTTAATCAGAGCCGATTAAATAATTATCTGACATGCTTCTTTAGTTCAGTGTTTATATCTGAACCTGCCTCTGACCGGGATGCTCCAGTGAAGCCTTTTTTTTTTTACGAAACTACGAGCTGGAAAAAAGTATCGACCGAGTATCTAACTTTAGGATCGATACTCTCCGTGACCCGGGCTGGACATGTTATTATCATACTATCTACGTGGAAAATGAAAAGTAAAAAGATGAAGCAACTGGACTTGTGTTTTGGAGCTGTAAACACACGGAGCTGCAGATTTAAACAGCGAGACTTGAGGTTAGTGTCTTATCGATCCTTCACCTCCTCCTCACTGATGAAAAAGTCAGATGAATGTGACATGAGCGTTCACACTGCAGTCACTTTGAAAACATCAGATATATATCCGATTTAAAACCACATACTGAAACGGCCTGGGTCGGATTTGAAAAAATCGGATTTGTCTCGTTCAGACCGTCATAAAAAAATCGGATAGGAGTCAGATGGGTCAAAAAAAAATCGGATTTGGGTCGGATTTGCCTGCAGTGTGAACGTAGCCAAACAGATACCACTCGACCAAATATTTCACCTCCCAAAACAGAAACACAAAGCTAAAACATGGGAAATCAATATTGGACATTAACATCGGCCCCGTTTTGTATATTGGGCCAATACAGATATTCTAAAAAAYGACTAATATCGGTCGATACCAATGTCAATGCCAATATATTGTGCATCCCTAATCTTCCGTACATGTATGTCATTGAAAACAATCCAAATTTAGCCAAAATGGTGGCCTAATTTCTGAGGTGAGGTGCAATGCAAACCTCTTTGTTTACTGGTCTATCTATGCTCATCCCCTCACCTATGTTCACAAACGCTTGGTAGTGACTGAAAGAATGAGATTATAGATAAAGGTGGTCGAAATTTTTTTATTTTTTTCCCCCACAGCTTAATTGGGCACTCCCTTAAAAATAGGGTGAGATGTTTGGTTATCCAAGAATTTAGAGCTGCTGCTCCTCTACAACAAGAGGAGCCAGTTGAGGTGGTTCAGGCATCTCGTAACGATAAGGATGCCCTCTGGATGACTCCCTAGGGAGGTGTTTCAGTCATGTCCAACTGGGAGGAAGACCCAGGACATACTGGACCGATTATCTTCTGGCCTTGGAACGCCTTGAAATCCTTCTGAGAGAGCTGGACAAGGTGGCTGTGGACAGAGAGAAATGGCCTCCCTGCGACCTCACCTGATCTTTGCAACAAGCAGCAGATATTGATTGGACTTTAATGATCACAAATGTTAAACATTTTATTTTATTATATTTATGATTATAGTTTTTCCACAGAGTAGTAATCTGAATTTAAAAGGGATTTTTAAATTTCATTTACAAATACCAAAATCCTTTTAGGTTAATTTATTGATTATTATTATATTGCTTATTCAGGCAAAAGAAGGTCGACAGTCACTTTAAAAAACAAACAAACATGTATTTAATGTAACCAAACCAAATGATTAATGAGTCACCATCAAGATGTTTTTTAAGTACTTTCAGTCAAGTTAACTCATGATAAAAAAAAACAGTTTTGTTATGATGACTGCTGCTTTGGTTGCTTTGACAAAAGAGCTATCTGATGAGATAAATCATAACATGAGACAGCAGAAGACTGTAAGGTAAAAAGAAGGAAGGGGGAAAAAACAGCTGCGGGAATCCCTTTATGCTTTGTCTGGGAACAACTTAGTACATAACCTAAATGAACCTCTTTACACCCGTGACAAATTACACATCCTTTATGTCATCAAATAATTTTAGAACAGACTGAGCATCTCAGCCAAACCCAGTGCTTCCTGTATGTTAGGATAACAGCCGACCTGAACCAGGCAGGTCAGTGATTTTTACATTGTTCCAGTAAAAACTGAGTCATGCGTTAAAAAGAATGTGGGGTGGAGCAACTTTTCTTAGTGCAAACACGTTTTAATGAATAACATTACAAACTACTTCTGCAGAACTGTGTATGCCACACAGTTACCAAAAGAATTACATCACTCTTGGTATACTGCCAGCAGTAAGGACACTGATAGAGAGACCTGATTGACCTCTGCAGGTCCAATAAACCATTTTAAATCCATACCAAACTCATTTTTTTCACAGAAAATATACCAATCCATTTAAACACAATATTTTTTGAGCATGTGCATGTTCTGTGATGGGTTATGTAAGGTATTAGTATCTTTGCTACAGCACCTCATTTAGCCTGACAGTGAAAAAGATTGAATTATTTTCCTAATAATTGAACTTTTATCATATTACTTCCTCATTTTCTCTAAAACCTGTTAATGGTTCTAAACACAAACAAGAGTCTGAGTAAATTTAAGTATTATTGGGGGTATAGAAACCCTGTGTTATCAGCTGCTTTTTAGTCAGTAAATTTCAATGCGTGTCACTGAAAGTGAAAGAGAGATCATGTCTGTGTGTTGGTTTTAGGGATGGGGCTGATCTGATCCAGTATCGGGCTCTGACAGCAACATAATTAACGAATCAGAATTTTCCCATACAACTTTTTTTTTCCAGGGAATGCTAGAACTTTAATTTGGACCTGCTTTTGTATTGATGTTTTTTATTATGTTGTTCTTAGTGCAACATCTTCTTGTTTTCTGTAGGTTAATGTTGAGATGTCTGGTTAGATAAAAAATGCAGAAAAAAAACAGCATGAGCTACTAACCTGCAGCCTCTCTATGATGTTTCTATAGTCTTTCGAGGCACACAGGCTGGAGTCTCGTCTGGAGGTGTTCTTAGCCGACAGTCTCCAGTTGAGAATACTCTTCTGCACAACGTTGTTGGACTTAACAAACAAGTTGTTCACTTGGCTGTCAAGATCCACTGGGATGGCGATCGCTCTGCTCTTTGCTGGAAAGCAGATGTGCCAGTTTTAAACAATATTTGGCGCTTACGCAGAAATCAGCAGTCTGTTAGTTTGCTGCTTACCCACGTCTGAGAGAACTTTAATACAAGCTTCAACCGAGGCCTTCTGAACAGGGTTGAGCCAGTTGCAGTGGTACACTCTGAAGACTCCCTGGAGCAGCTGCACAAAAACCGGCTGACGAGTCTGGAAGACAAGTTTAAAAAAAATATCAAGGATGAGTGAATGAAATGAAGGAGATAAATATTGTTTGGAATGTATTACACTAACAACTTCACAGCTACAAAGTGACAATTTTATTCAATTTAAGACATGATATTCTGAGCATACTTTGTCGTTGTGGAAAAGCCAATGACTTCAGGAGCAGCAGGTACTCTAAATCTGAATTTTGCGTACCAAACACAGGACGTCACACCAATGTTAAAAAAAGCAGAACTGGCTTCTACCTGCCAACAGCCCTAAAGCACAACAAATACCTCAGTTAGTTTTCCAAGAAAGGCTGCCTGGTGCAAAAGAAAAAGGAAACGTTTTGCTGTGTCACCATTTAATGGTAAACCTTTGCACATTGAATACTCTGAAAAGTCACACCAATCCATRGAGGTAAACCTACATTTTCTAGGAAACTTCCTAAAAACAGGCAACAAGCTATTGATAAGGCAAATGTAATTGATAAACAAGCACAAAGTTTTTTCTCAAGAGATTTAGAAATCTACGAAGGACACTGGTCACGGTTTATTGGGAAAGTCATGGGGGGGACAAGACATGGCTTCCAGAAGTAGGTTTGGGCGGTACTGATCTTTTTCAAATTGACATATAATCTTTAGATAAAACCACAGTACAGGGTGTTACTGGGGCAGGGTGTGTGTGTGTGTG